TTTCTAAAGCACTACAAGGCTCAAGCGTCACATTGTTGGATGTTCGGGTGTGGTTTGACGGTCTTATTGCCGTAAAACCGTAGTACGCCACATATCTCGGTAAACGTTTTTATTGTACAATATTGTGAGTCAACGTGCATTTCAAAAACTTTTTGTGTCATATAGGACCCCGTGCCGACTTAGTTCACAGTCCTGACTTCGAGTCGGGTTGCGTACGCGTCCTCGGAGACAGTCACCAGCTGACAAGGGCGGAGAAAGGCGGCGTTGCGGCTCTTCAGCTGCGCGGATGAAAAGCACTTAGTGCATATGAGGATGCAGCGGCCAGCGAGGAAGAAGGCTCTTTTGTAGAGCATCTACAAAAGAGACGCGGCTGGCAGAGGTTCAACCAATGTACAATTTGCTAAGCATTATTCCGCCCACGTCTAACCTGGTTGAGCGGGTTTAAGCGTTGCACGGACGATGTTCAGGCAAGCGTGTCACAGCCTGCAGTCAATTACCCTGGAAATGGTGCTTCTCGTGCGGCAAAACGGTGGGTACAGGACAGGACAGACCGTCGATGAGACCACTCGTTAGCAATTAACACGAATTTACTTTGCTTTACATTATGCTCTTATTTATTGCGTGCTCTTTGTAAATGTCATAATGTGTTGCTGGACACTAGCTATCCACTACCATTATTTATGCTGAAGGTGGGCACCTGATAAATAACAATGCCATAATCGGGAGCCCTGCCCATATCCAGCACGGCGCATATTACATACCACAATGCACGAAAATATCATATTGACTAGGCTGCTGAACTTCGACGTCTACGCACACTTTAAAAACGATTTGTAGTCGAATTGAAATAGGTCTACATATTTTCTTGCTGTAAATTTGACAAAGCCGGCCAATCACTGTGGATCTGACAAAGCTGGGGCAAAACTGCAAAACAATGTTGTGTATCTGGTGTTAAATACACACTGCGCAACCTACGGTTCACCACCTTCGACCCGCCGCTGCCTTCCATAAGCGGTGATCCTCATTAATAAACAACAACAGCTCGAGCCGAAGGTGAGGATGCCGCGTCTTAGGCGACACACACCGTCGTCGAGGCGGCTGCCAAACCGCTCCATAAGATGCCAACGCTTTCTGTTCCAATTGGGTCCGGAAGTGAACACAGCAGAAATGAAAGTGCGCTCCTTCGTCAACGAAAATGGGATTCATTTATCGAAACAACGTAAGGCTGGGGGCCTGTGTGGCAGTCCGGATGAGTGGTCGAACGAATTTCGTTTAGCGGCGGACTAATGACCTGTAAGCGTAATAACCGTACCGATTGCTGGTAAGAGTGCGCAGCTAACGTTCTCCTCTGATAATATTGCGGGGTACACGGATTCGATGGTCTTGACATGCCGGGTGGTTCTTCCAATTGCCGCTTTATGAAGGGCCCTATGAGTTTTATCACGGGCGTGGATGTGTCGACACCGTGTCGTGCTCCACACTGAGCGATGCATACGCCATTGGATTTTCAGAATCCGATAAGCTCTGAGTTTGATGGCATGTCCTGTAAGCACCTGTTGATTTCGACCGACGACATCTTGTTGCATGCATGCTCGACTGTCGAATAAGGCGCTGCAATCCCCATTTTTTGGCTCGTGTGCGTATAAAAGCTCAGCGTGCTCAATGTTTTCCTTTTCTGGAAGGAGGCCAAATGGTGTTGTCGTGCGATCAGAGGTGTCCAGGTATATAATGACTCTGAGCGGTCACGTTTTTCTGGGAGGTAGATATTAGTTTCCAGGAAAATCAAAGAATGAATTAGATGTTTTATCTGCGCGATCTAGAAGGAGTGGGTACCTATCTAGCGTCATCAGAGGCACTACCGCGATTTCTCCTTTTTGTGTCATCAGTTGAGTTGACCAGTTACAACTTCCCCGCAACTCAGCTGGAGTCAGATGAAGAGCGAGTCCGATCCTTGTGTGATGGTTCAGAAATCGTTTCGTTCTGAGCGCTTTTGTGAGTCCGTCGGCAAGCATTGTAGTTGTAGGGCAATATTTCAGTTTGACGCTGCCCTTCTTGTACGCGTCTTTGATCGAATGGTACATGACGCCAATAGTCTTTTGAGCTTTCGATGTCTTGCCGCTCGTAATTCGGTGAATGGTAGACTTGTTGCCTACGAGCACGAGGAGTCGATCTTCTTCGTGACTTTGTCCAATGGCGTTCATGAAGAGTTGAATCCACGTGACCTCCTCGACTCCCATTGAACATGCGATGAATTCGGCTGCAGTAGAAGACTTCGCCACCACAGATTGCCGCTTGCAGATCCAATGTACTGTACATCCATACACTTGGACAATAACTCCAGAGATCGGCTTTCTGTCGGTGATGTTGTTCGCCCAGTCTGCATCAGTGAACGCTTTGATTCTGGGGACTTGACTGCTACGGCGATAAGTAAGTGCTGCTGATCTCGTTCCCCAGACATAGCGTAGAATCTTCTTCGCAGCATTCCAGTGATTCACTGTGGATTTTGCAGCTCGTGTGGCGACTTGCTTGACTGCATACGCAATATCCGGCCTCGTTACTCGGCTGGGGTACAAGAGAGCACCTACAGCTTGTTGGTAAGGGACTTTGGAGGCAAGAGCGTCTTTTTCTTCGCCAGGGTATAGTATAGTGCTCTGATCCATTGGAATTTCCCAAGTACGGCAATTGTTCATGGCGAAACGTTCACAAACTTCAGTGGCATACTGTTCTTGGTCGATAGTCATCACACCAGAGTCCATGTCCCGGGTTATACGCATTCCAAGGAACCACGATAATTCTCCCAAGTCCTTGATTTGATATTTCTCTTCCAATGCATTCATCAGTTGCTGCATATCTTCGATGTTCTTGTAGCCCACCAGGATGTCATCTACATAGACAAGTACGATTAGGACTTTGGTTTGGTGCTTGTAGACACACGGATTCTCTCGAGTAGGTTCTAAACCGGTAGATCGCAAAACGTTGTCGAGTTCGATGTACCATTCTCGAACGGCTTGTTTTAATCCATACAGAGCTTTACGAAGTAGCCAAGCCTGACCAGGTTCTCCTTCTTCGAAGCCTCGGAGCTGTTTAACATAAATCAACTCACGAAGGTTAGCTTTAACAAATGCAGTTGGGACATCACCTTGTCTGATGAGAAGTCCAGATTGGTTACACTCGGCCAAGAAGACCCGAATTGAAACGAGTCGCGCAACGGGCACGTACGTATCAATATAGCCAATCATGTAAATTTCTTGAAAGCCTTGCGCGCAGACCCGGGCCCGTAGTCGTTCGACTTTGCCATCTGCATGGCGCTTAACTCGAAAGTTCATGGTTGTCCCGATAACATGAGCACCTGTAGGGGGAGTCACCAGTGTGAACGTCCCATTTGATCCTAGTGCTTCGATCTCAACCCGTATCGCTTTTTCCCATTCCGACCACTGAGGGGAGCCTCCAATGTCAGTGGTTCTTGGATCACTTCAGTCATGGCTAAGAAAGCGGCTTCAATGTTACGGCTGGATATCCGCTCCGATCGCCTCCGCCTGGTTAAATCTGTAGCCTCATTGAGTTCCTCGAAAATTGCCGTTGGGAATAAAGCTGCGTTTCTTTCCCGTGTTTGGTCGTCCTCGGTGGGAGCGGATGTCCTATCCGTTGGTCTTCACCGCATTGAGTCGCCGCTGGTTGTAGGTGAGAATTGTTCTTGTAGAGGGAACACCTGGGTACTGTGCTCTTGGGCGCTTCAACGGTGAGCCCAGGAACTTAACGTCGCACGTATTCACAATTCTTGCTCCACCTTCTCTCACGTATACAAAGTAACCCTTGCGTTGTTCATCATGCCCCACGAATACTCCTCTTTGGCCTACTGGTCTAAACTTGAACAAAGTGCCGCGCTTTTCGGGCGGTAGAAGCACTGTAACACTTCTCCAAAGGTGCGAGAGTCCGACAGGTCCGGCATTTTCCATGGTACTTAGTGTAGGGCGTTGTTGATGGTTCGCTGAGTGAAGTTACTCGGTTTCTCATGTATGCAGCAGCTCGGACAGCGTACTCCCATAGGTTGTGGGGTAAACCAGCTTGGATCAGCATTGCCCGTGCCGCCTCGATGAGTGTTCGGTTCGTTCTTTCCACCACACCATTCTGGTAGTGTACGTCGGGCTCAGAAAATTGTCGTTCCAGGCCTGCTTCATCACATAGAGTATTAAATTCCTCGTTGATGAATTCCCCTCCATTGTCCATTCGCAGAACACGGATTTTCCGTGAGTCTTCACGGTTTTTAATCATAAGTAGGAACTTTCTAAAGCACTCCACAGCTTCATCCTTCGTCTTGATAAAGTACACGTGAGTATAGTTCAGCCACTTGATTACCAGCATGTAGTGGTTCCCATGGATGCTTCGCTGGTACTTCCCTGCAAGGTCTGCATGGCAAGCTAGATCTTTCTCTTCTTGAGATCTTGTACTTCGACGAGGTGCCGGGCGACTGGATATCTTGCCGAGTGTACAGTCTTCACATGGACGGTCCGGGATTTTTCTGGAGCCAATAATCTTCAGACCTTTTACTAACCCACTCCTTTCAAGCTCAATCGCTACCACACCATCTTCTGCGCTCAATCTGGTATGACTTTCTTCTTGGTAGCCATAAACTCCATTAATCATCTTTCCTCGCAGGAGCGGAGGGCCGTAGACTACACACCAATCTTCAGTAAAGTCACACTTAAAACCACGTTGAGATAGTTTCGATACTGAAAGTAGTTTTTTCTAGACCTGGTATAAACCCTACTTCGTCAATTTTAGTCCCTTTGGTCCCAAATAAGACCAGTGAGCCCCATTGATCACCTTTCATAACATGCCCAGCCGGAAGTTTCACCTCGTGAGTTGCACATTGCTGTAGATTAGTCAGCAGCTTCGCTTCCCCAGTCATGTGGTGAGAAGCTGCCGAGTCAATGTACAGCGGAAAGTTTTGAGTTCCAGGATCAAACGGAAATAACTCGGTGTCTCAACACCCCGTGTCTTCAGTCATGACTCTCGTTTTGTTCGCCTTGAACTTCACGGCTACGGGCTTGCTGGGCGACATGACGATCGTGGTAGTTTGTCGTGTGACCTCGTTCATTGCATGTCTTGCACAAAGCGTTTGAGAAGTTCCAACGGGGCCTAGGGGTCTTGGCAGTAGTAGCTGAAGCGCTGCCACTAATTCGGGATTTCTTGTCACTGCCGTCTCGGCTAAAATCATCGCTGCGTCGTTTGTTAGGGTTAATTTTTCCATCACTTTTGGCTAGTTTGGTCAGTAGGACCACTGCGCTTTCAAGTTCTCCGGTAGCGTCCTCCGCTTCTTGGTCAAGTTTGGCTTCCAGATCAACACGGAAGCTAGGGTAAGCATGGTTGATGAAAGTACTCAGCGCCTGCTGCTCAGTATACGAGTTGACTTTGCCAGGATATAGCCCTACTGCAATCTGGGAGAGTCGGTGAGCGTAGGTAGCATATGTTTCCTGGGGAAATTTGCGTGTGTTCGCCAGAGTGACTGCAATCGTCTGCACCGGGAGCTTACACCGGAAGTTCTCCATGAACTTGTTCGCGAGGTCACAGAAAGAGTCCTTCGGAAGGTTAGAGCTGTTGTGGTAGTACCAGGTACCAGCTTCACTCGTGAGTCGGGAGGCAAGAACACCGCACTTCACCGTTTCCGGCCACTTTCGCTCCGTGAGTGTCTCTGCCAGGTGTATCTGTACTTTGAGTCGCTCCAACCAATCATAAGCGCCACTGTCTATGAATCCATCCTTGGTCGATCCATCAAAGGGCTCAATAGTGATCTATTTGAGGTCTATCTTCGTTCTTGTCGCGCGTGTCCCCACTGCTCCACTTTTACTCGTTGGAGCAGGCTCATCTTCCACTTGTTCAAAGTCTGAATCATCGTTTGAAGACATGGTAAAAGGAAAGTCGAGTCTTGCGGCTGTTAATCTATTAGTTTCCAGGAAAATCAAAGAATGAATTAGATGTTTTATCTGCGCGATTCAGAAGGAGTGGGTGCCTATCTAGCGTCATCAGAGGCACTACCGTGATTTCTCCTTTTTGTGTCATCAGTTGAGTTGACCAGTTACAACAGTATATGCGGTCTCGTCGCCTCCAGAGGCCACCTTGTCACTTGCTGCCGACCTGGTGCGCACCTGGTTCTGCCCGGCTCTTCTTCTGGACGGATGTCGAAGTACGTAGACGGAATATCTGGTGCGTCCCCTCCTGGTACTGATTAATGTACGCTCGGAAAGCAGCCCAGTCTTTTTGCCATTTGACAACCAGTGGTGGGCACTCCCACGGGAACTCGGTGAAACTTACCTCTTCGAATCGCTGTCGCTCATCTCTTTTATCAGAATACGATATCCAAACGCTAACAGTCAGTATAGAAATAGCTAGCGCTACGGTGAACAGCTCACACATACCGGCTCACTGACGTTTCGATGTCTGTGAGCGCTTGAGCCCGTTTTGGACATGAGTGGCTCTGGGGCGTAGAGGATGGGTGGTAGGGGGAGGAAGGTGTGTCACTTATCAGATTTCTTGTTTTTATTTTTCAAGATTAATGTTAAACAAGCCGAACAGAGACCCGCAAGCGGGGCTCTTTAAGCCGAGATTAATTAGGCCGTAATTATCGATATGTTGATGCGCACATCGTTACGCGGGTTTTGCACAGAAGTGACATCGTCGTTAAGTGGCTGAAATCAATATTAACCAATGCGTAGTCCGTAAAGACATGACTTTTCTATTTTGCTGCGCAACGAATTTAGTTAGCTAAGATCGCATGTCATTTCATTTCTTTTTAGCAGAAATAAAGGGGTCTTCATCCTGAGACTTCCCTGTTGGGCTTCCCATTATCTAGCTTCGCTACATACATGTACATGTACCTCCCAGTATTAAAACTTCCCGATTCTATCTTGCTGCGCAACGAATTTAGTTAGCTAAGATCACTTGCCATGGCATTACTTTTCAGCAGAAATAAAGGAGTTTTCATCCTGATACTTCGTCATTTGCTGACTTCAAAAGCCAGCTTCGCCAGCTTTTCACTGAAAGCCCACAGCTTCGCCGCCGCATCCTTCGCGTCGCTTAGCCCCGATGGAGCCTCACGAATTGGGTGGCCGTAGAGACCTAGATAATTAGGACCAAAATAGTCACCGCCCTCCACAGCGTCTCCAACAGCAGCATACAACGTTGACAGAGCTCCCATTTGAGCGCTCTGGCTTGGGAAATACACCGCCACCTTGTAAAACAACCACCACAGCCAACTGCTACTCGCGGACGCAGTTTTCGACGTGAGACCGCTGACCGACAGACCCGGGTGACAAGCAGCCGCAGTGACCCCTTCTACCCCGTTGGCCTTCATTCGACGGTTAAGCTCCTTCGCAAACATGATGTTGTAGAGCTTGGTGACGCCGTAATTCTGCATCGGTGAGTATTTTTCAGCGTCATTCAGCATAATCTCGTCTTCATCGAAGACCTTAGGCTGCCGATGAACCTGGCTGCTCACGTTCACGATGCGTGACGGGGTACTGCTCTTGATCAGAGCGAATAATCGTGCCGTTAATGCGAAGTGGCCTAAGTGGTTGGTGGCGAACAACAACTCGTAACCATCTTCGGACAGAGTAAAGTCACCTCCAGCGACGCCTGCGTTATTTATGAGCAAATCTAGGCGTTTGTACTTGGCCTTGAACTCTTCTGAAAACTTCTCGACGCTGCTTAAGTCCCCACGTCCAATTTCATGAACTCCACGGTGCCAGTTTCTGGAGTGGAAGCAAGCGTCTCGCGCAGCCTGGATTCGGCTTCACGGCCGCGTATTTCATTTCGGTAGGCCAAAATCACGTGGGCTCCGTTGCGTGCAAGCTCGAGGGCGGTCTCGTAGCCAATGCCGGAGTTGGCCCCGGTAACGACGGCGATTTTCCCCTTCTGGGACGAAATCTTATGCGCATCCCATTTTTCAGGGACAGGCAAACGGGGGCAAGTGTCAGTCATGATGATGTGGGTGTTGGGGAGCGGTGAAGTGGGCTTCTTGTGGTGTTTTGATGAATGAAGATTCGCCAAGCTACCGAGCCGTGTAGTACTGATATATGTTAATCTTATTGCCACTGGGAGCCATGGGTTTGTCGAATATTAACAGTATCGGTAAACTACGTCCAGTCTCCAAAGTAGGTACATGTAATATTTTTTATAGGCCGCCTTGTGATCTACTTCAAAGTAGGTATTATACGTACTGTACTGTACATATGAACTTCCGTAGGGCCCGGGAACGGGAACCACCCGGGAGCACCCAAGGATAAAAAACAAAACATTTGACTAGTGTTCATTATGGGGATGACCTAAGCAAAAAGTGACCAGCCGCGCTTCGCTTTGCTGCGCTCGCAATATGGAGATAGAATGTACTGGAAAGTGTAGTGCTCGGCTCGCCGCGCTGCTACTGCGTCTATCTGGATACAAGTTTTCGTGATTTTAAAAAGGGTACTGCAGAGCAGACTACTTCAGCACAATAGTGACTTTCCCATAGTTAAGTACCTCAGAGCAGTCATTTTTGGTAATTTTGCTTTCTATATTACGAGGGAGAGGTGCGAGGTAATTTTAAATGTAACCGATATTTTATTCCTGTCGGAGGGTATTCCAAGGGTTGGAATTAATACAGTACCGAAGGGCTCATCAGTGGCAAAACAAATCCATGTTGACGATTATTTTGTGATTATGTGGTCAGTAGTTATTATTAATAGAATGATCTACAGTACTGTATTTTGATTACGTGAACATGAAAACGCCATGCTGAGCGTATCAATCTAGCGTCACAGGCTGCAGAGCACGATGTGGACGAGGCTATCGGCAGAGAACAAGAAAAAATACCTTGATTTCGCTCTATCGACTTTAAACAACTGCAACATTTTGCAGTTTTCCATCTCGATCGCCTTTGTCTGTGTCACAGTGAGATACTAGAGCAAATACTCGACAGTCTTAAGGCCTGCCATCACTACTGCTGTTTTAGAACCTGACCGAAAGAGTAGATGGCAATAAACGTACTTAAGTGAGAAATATCATAAAACATCATCTAGTATTTACTATTTTTCAAATTTCCAAGTTAATATATGTTATCTTTTGAAAAACTGAGTTACAGTTGATCTTAAATATCGAAATAGTACTAGTACTATCAAAAATATCATATGATATTTGGTTTGTGTCGTGTTTAGTCAATCTTTAAGTAGCTCGAGCACAAACTTTAACCTCCCAGCATATAACCATCTCCATTCTTTAATTTGTTGGAATTCCTTGTCCGCAAGATCACTGGGGGAGGGGGGGGCAGTTACTGAGCGAAGTCGAACTTAAGTTGCGTCAGCTCCTCGCTATACGCCCACAGCTTGGAAGCTGCCGTCTCAGACTTGCTTAGCTTAGCAGGTTCCTCACGAACGGGGTGACCGTAGACTTCCAAATACTTGGGCCCATAAAAGTCACCGCCCTTCACCCCATCAGCTGTGGAAGCATACAGCGCAGACAGCGCACCTTTCGGAGCGCTCTGAGGCGGGAACATCCCATAGACATGGAAATTCAACCACCAGAACCAACTGCTGTTGGTTTCAGCCGTTTTCTTCATGATCTTGGTGTCACAGTATCCAGGATGAGCCGCAGCCGCCGTGATATTCTCAATTCCTGCAGCTTTCAGACGACGGTCGAGCTCAACGGTGAAGAGTAGAAGACACAGCTTGGAGATCGAGTACGTTCTGACTTGCCCGTGCTCCTTTGAGCTCTTGGCCATGATATTGTCTTCGTCAAAGACCAACGTCCCGTACCAGTGTAGGAAACTACTCACAGAGACAACACGTGACAGCGCTGATTTCTTCAGCATATCAAAAAGCTGCGCTGTCATGGCGAAGTGGCCTAAGTAATTAGTCGCAAATATCAGTTCATAGCCGTCAACTGTTTTCGTGTACGTGCCACCACCGATTCCGGCATTGTTAATCAGCAGATCCAGTTTTCGTAAACTCTTCACAGAAGCTGCGAACGCTGGTCAGGTCACCCATGTCGACCTGCATGAACTTAACACTACCAGAATCAGGCGTCGTTGCTATGATTTTTTTTAATGTCGGCCTGGGCGTGGAGGCCGCGTTCTTGATTGCGACAGGCCAGGATCACATTAGCTCCTTTACGCGCTAATTCGAGTGCCATTTCGAACCCAATTCCCGAGTTGGCACCCGTGACGATCGCGACCTTGTCCTTTTGCGATGGCATGTCCGCTGCATTCCAACAGCTGGGAACTTGAGGATGAAAAGTGGTGTTCTTGCTCGCATTAACCCCCATCGTCGAGTGTTCTTCTCGATGCTGAAAATTTGGAAATGGTAGGTTAGTTCAAACACTCAATTGGGACGTGGCGAATGAGAAAACGACGTTGAAGCTAAGTAGCTCTTCGCTTATAATAGTTTCACGCATTTTATCAAATTATTTATCGCATTTAATTCACAGACTGGTTAATACCGCTAGTAGCACCTGTGGCATTCTACAGATCAGTAAATAGTAATGCATAGGTCAGCTCCTCAATCTAACGTCAATACTGTATCCACTTGGAGTTCCCAAAAGAAAATCGACGTGTAACGTTTTATGAGGGTACTTATTGTTTCCTTTAGATTTAATGCTCAAAGGCTGCAATCTTTTTAGTCGTAAGCAAGTTTCCCAACAAGTGAAGTGCTCGCTTTCTCGACAATCTTGTTCTAATCGCCAGCGAGTGGATTGACTGTAAGCTTTTCAACTTATTCTCTCCATAATCTTTTTTTTTCCTGGTAGTGCTACGAGTATAATAGTACCCTACTAGCCGAGCGCCGCCGCTACGCGGCGGTAAATTAGGTTTAGCTCTACACGTTTTGGCATTCCCGCCTACGCTACGCTTCGGTGGGATAACTATTGAAAAAAAACCGCTGAACCCATGTGTACCTAAATCGATTTATTTTAATTTATTAATTTGGGTCAGCATCATGCTTACCAGATTAAATAATAAATATTCTAATGATCTTATATCAAGATTCTTGATGCAACCTCTTTTTTATTGCTGGCTATCACTGTATTTTCATCCTCCATCCAAAACCACCAGCACTTCAAATAACATTTATACAAACGCTACACAATACGTTTAGTTTAGCGTCGTGCTCGATATCACGGGCCATTTCTGAGCCGCTATGAAGCTTAGCTCACATCAGCACAAACGATAGTAATGGCCTGTCCAGCTTGCACTACTTATTAACACCTGCCTGCACTGCCTATTTCAGCTTGTACGTAACTAAAGATTGCTCACTTCTCATACCAAACTCAATGAAAGCTAAAACAATAAAATATAATTTAATCTTAATGTATGTGGCGTTCATTTTGTGCCGATTCAGAATTAGCACTCGAATCTGTGCCAGTTATGATTGAAGCACTTGGATATTGTGTCACAAGACGCCTTGCTGCTGCTGCTGTTGACGGTAGTGTTTTCTATTTGATTATTTAACGATGATTCCAGGATTATTGGACGTCATTTAGGCTCCAAGTTTATAAACGTTTCTTTATGGTGTCTACTTAGCCAACTATAATTAACACCTCTCGTGTTTTGTTGTTGTATTGCCGCTCCATTTAAAATCGTATCCTACGCCCCTGTCGGCGACCCGTCCGCCAGCTAAGTAGTATCGGATTTTGCTGCCTAACAACTCTTAGAAAACAATGGCTTACAGCAGTCTCTTAGAAAACAATGGCTACAGCAGTAACACATATGAGTTCATTCTATTCAATCTAAAACTACGTATCTTTATGGATCAGGTGACAACGTTTATTGGCACATCGTTGTTTTTACGGCCAGCTTCTGTTGTACATGTACTACTATTTGACAGCTCAATCAGTTACCTCACACTCAGATATGTTCTTAATATTTCTACAACAAATCAGTTGTAGCTATTATTTTAGTAACTTGCCGAAACTATTAAGAACATAGTATTACGTATATTATAGTATGGCCTCGAAAACACGCATTTTTACGTGTACGCTAAGCATCTTGCAGCATAGGAAGCGTCTTTAGGGGCTATTTCATCTGAGAATAAGTAGCACTCAAAATTAATAGCAACTTCCCTTATTAAAATAGTACTTCGAAGTACAAATTAAAACTTCGTCGTATTTAAACGATGCCGCCATCGGATAATGGATACAAATCTCCATATGTGCTCATGAATTTATTGATGTAAGTTACATAATTCCGTTTTAACCAATCGAAGCCGCCTTCGCTCCGCTCGGCAGCCAATGATAAGGCTAAAAATCTGAGCGTTTCGTGTGACGGACGGACGGACACCATGCTAGCATTGATAGTTTAGGACTAGCCGTTCGCCGCCGCTACGCGGCGGAGGTGGCAGGTTTTAGTCCAAGGGGAAATGGGCTCCCGCCTTCGCTACGCTCCGGCGTAAACATTATTTATGTAAACGTGATGTATTAAATGCATATGAAATTGAACATTCCTACTCTCAACCAAAGATCTGCCTGTAGACAATGTTCTGGGCGTAGACCCCATCCTCCTCCTCCAGCTTTGGGTACTCGACCAGCGCCTTGAATTATGATCTTGAAGTAACTCGCGACATCGCAACGTACAGCTGCCCGTGGGAGAAGCAAGGCGTAGCAAGATACAGCCCCAAGTACTGCACCGTTTGTCCTTGCGCCTTGTTAATCGTCATCGCAAAGGCCGGTTGGACAGGAAACTGCTTGCGTCTCAAATGAAACGGAAAGTTCCGAATGTCTCCGTCACTGATGAAAACAATGCGGGGAATTAACACATGTTGCCCTTGTCGCTCACCTGTCATGATTGTGGCGTGGATGACATGTGGCTTGAGGGCCACAATTCGAAGCCGTGTTCCGTTGCACAGCCCTAGATCTGGATTCAGGTTCCGCATCATCATGATAGGCATTCCTACCTTGAGGGTCAGCTTGTGGGGCGGCATTCCACTGATATTTATCGAGTGGAGTACCTCCTGCTCGAAGAAATTGCCATCACCGTCGTCTTGTACAGAATCGGAAGACATGTATTCCCGCGCCTGTCCAGTTAATCGATCGGTCACCGCTTCATTGATGCGGTGCACGATTGCGTTCGTGGTCGTGAGGATCGTACGGTTAGCGAAATACTCATCGGTAGCAACTTCAAGGTTGTTAATCTCGCCATACATCTCGTCGATGATCCGGTCCATGTCTCTTGGAATAACACCAGGACGAATTTCCTGGTCCTCATCCTCAGGCACAGGTGGATTTTCAATCAGCATATCGCGCGGGATCTTCATGTAATCGCTTTCTAGGGAAGGAGTTACATCATGCCTTCCCTCCCCGACTTGCAGCAGAAACTCGGAGAACGCAGCCATTTCCTCAGCAGTGTCTGCAGTATCAGCAGTGCGCACTCGCATGTTTTCCGTGAGACGGAACGTCTGGAATTGGGGCCACAGCCTAGACGACTTGAGGCAAGCGTCAATTGTCTCGACGGGTGTTCCATTCTTTACGACCGGGAGAATTTGGCGGAAATTTCCCGAAAGTACAAACACTTTCCCGCCAAAAGGCTCGGTATCGTTATCAAGTATGTCCCGTAGTGTTCTGTCTACTGCCTCGAATGCGTGGCGATGGGCCATAGGTGCTTCGTCCCAAATTATCAAACTTGCATGCTGATCAACTCCTGAATATGGGAGTTCTTCCTGATACCGCACGTCGAGCTCTCGTTTAGTTTCAAAGGGATCTTGAATGTAGAATGAGCTGTCCTACCTCCCATAAGTAAGAGCGAGGCAATGCCGCTAGACGCCACAGCGATGGCGATTTTCCCCGAGAGTCTGACTTTGGCCAGTATGTTCCGAAGCAGTGTAGGTTTTCCAGTACCACCCGGGCCATCGACAAAAAATAGTTTCTTGCCTTCCTCCGGGCATTCAACCGCTTCAACAATCTGGTCGTAAGCCACTCGCTGTCCTTCGTTCAGCTGGACTTCTGTATTTACAATCGCCTCCAAAGCTGACGCATCGTATCCAGTGAGCTCACGTCGAAGTAAGCCGTTTTGGCGAAGCGATTCACAAATCAATGTTGGGAACGAACCCAACTGAGGAAGCTCGTCGAAGTCTCCTACCGCAGACCCGCTCGCTTCAAGTAGTTCTTGAATGCTCATCAGCGTTTCAAATTCGATCAACGACGACTTGAAGGGGTCCATCAAAGCCTGATGTTTGCGTGCGAAGTCTTGGGAAGATCCGCGAAGAACCGATCCCATAGAACACCAACATTTGCTGGAGCTGAATACACCAGAATGGTGACGAAGAGCTGGCGTAGTTGATACGGCATTTGGAACTCAGCCGCTTCCCTCAATCACGAAACCCACTCGTTATCATTCTCCAAGTAGCCAGCCTCCCGCGCCGCAATTTGGAATGTGGGGCAGACAATCCCGTTAACCGTTCTCAAGTCTTCAAACGACGTTGGACCTCTACGCTGACAGAGCAGTAGCCGAAGATAGAACCGCTCCATGTCTCGAGGAGACACATGGATCATGCGACCAACCGCAGCTTGATACTGTTTCCTGCGAACCCACCTTTTCGGTTGCCCTTTCTCCGGCGCTTTCCAGCAGAACTCTTTAGGGATGTCCTGATACAACATCGCTCTGGCAATATGATTCTCGGGCACTTCACTCGCACACAACTCAAAGAATCTGGTCAGCATCGTGTGACTACCACGTTCCAAAACCACCTCCGGGTTTTCCGTTTCGCGGAAGCAAACCGTCTGCCCTGACTCGAG